TTTAGGTCATCATCTTTAAGACCAGATCAATTGTAATTAATAATAGTGTTGAAGATGATGAAGAAGGAAGGTGATTCACTGAAGAAACTTCTCTTTTCGACGATTTCATTTAATCAAGCTATACAACCGTTTTTTAATAGTTACTTACATACGCCTCTCACTCCTCGTGAAGAGGCATAGGCCGCTCACCAGCACTCTTCATCCAACCATGTTCTGGTCAATCCTTTCCAGCTCGTTCCAGTTGTGATTCATCCTTTTAATGTCTGCTTCTATTTCCGACGTAATGTGTTGTTTGGCCTTCCTCTTTTCCGTTCCCCTTCAGGATTCCAGGTTAGGGCATGCCTCATGATGCAGTTTGATGATTTGCATAATGCATGTCCTATCCATTCCCATCGTCTTTTCCTAATTTCCTCTTCAACTGGAAGCTGGTTTATTCTCTCACAAACCATCGTATTTTAACAGTTAATTTTATTTGTTAAAATAACGTGTCTATAGTAAGATAGAATGATTCTGAATATTAAGAAAAACAGCTTGAAGTGGTGTGTTGTGATAAATGAAGATTCCGATGTTGAAAAGAAGTTATGTAATAATTGTCTAGTGAAAAAAAGTGATAAAGTGATAAGTGTCTACTTGTTAGCTGTTAAGAAAAGAACAACTAAAAGGTTTAATAATTTAGAAAATGATAAGAAAGGTGAAGAGATGTCTTTGGATGGAATGGAAGAAGCTTTCGCTTAACGGGCTTTTGTATCTAGTAGCAGTGGATCACTGATAACTCCAGGCAGGAAACTAGGTATATTAACAATAAAAGAGGAGAAAAATTGGTAAATCATAGTACGATATCATCACTAGTCCTTAGGAATATGTCAAGTTTTCTCTTGAAGGACTCCTGGGAAGTCACTTGGACTATCTCAGCCGTGAGCAAATTCCAGCATTTGACTGCTCTTAAAGAGAAGGTTTGTCTACAGTTTGTTCTACTGTGTTCAGTCTGCAGTTCCTGGTTGTTACCCTTAAGGTTTGTGTTGGAGCTAAACTTAAGTAGGTGTTTAAGGGGATGTTCAAAAGTATTTAGGATCATGTAAGCCATTAGGTCACCTCTAAGACGCCTGTACTCTAATGGGTAAAGATCCGGTGATTGAAGGCGCTCTTCATAAGACTTAAATTTGAATCCCTGAACTGATTTCATGACTCGCCTATGGATAGGTTCGAGAGTGTCCTCATCCTTTTAGAGTGAGGGAGGAAATACTGTTTCCGTACTATAAATGGGGACGAATAAAACTGTCGAAGATTATGTGGAAAGTTCTTCCGTCAAACTGGCCAAAAATGCGCCTCAGTGTTACCAGTGCAAGGTGTTAAAATAAATAAAATAATGATTGAAGTGTTAACGGTAAGTTCGTTACCATCTGCCCAACTTTGAAGTAGATTCAGATCCTCCTGAAATGCCAGTTTATCTTAGTTGTATACTTCATTCCAGAGTTTCATATCATCAGCGAAAAGTAATAAGCCTGACGATACCTGTTATGGAAGATCGTTTACATAAAACAAGTGAAGAGTAGGTCTTAGTACTGAACCCTTGGGGGACCACACTAGGACATTCCATAGCTTGAAAGAAAGTGAAGTTAGCCCTGACCTTAGAATGTCAATTTTTTAGATATGAATTGAGCCAATCAATTAAAGGTGATTTGGTACCTAATCGTTTGAGCTTATCGATAAGACATATATGGTTGACCCCATCGAAAGCTTTTGAGAAATCAAGGTATATGACGTCAATCTTCCTTTTGCCATCAACGATGGTTGTTCATATGTCCACCGCAGTCAGCAGATTGGTTATCCAAAAGTGACCTTTTCTGAAACCGTGCTGTTGGGGTAAAAAGAATTTTAAGGATGATAAATAGTTGTATATACCGTCGTATATCAGGGACTCCATAACTTTTGAGAGTATAGAGAGAAGTGCTACCGGTCATTAGCTCGAAGGTTCGTTGCGTCGACCTCCTTAGAAGACTGGTGTGATGTGAGCCAGCTTCCAAATTTCGGGTAATGTGCCGCAGCTTAGTGAATGTGAAAACAGCATGCTAAGCGGAACAGAAATAATAATCTTAAAAAAGAGAAGTTAAAGTCATAGAAAAATGAGGGACCGAACATGCTGTTTTCGTACACAAAGGTTGGGCATGAGTTGGTGCATAGAACTAACCTAGGCTGTACATAAGTTTTTTATTTGCGTTCCCGTTGGGTTGACTCTCCCGACTGTGTATGATTTTGAAGGCTTCTGGTGAATTAGAGTGACTAGAACTGACAAGATGCTCCAAGATTTAGCTTTTGACTGACTTCTATGATCCTTTGGAGAGCCGGGCAAGGTAATGTTCGGAGATGTTTTTCGAATAAGCTGGCTTGGTGTGATAATATACCCTGCTCCACATGAGCAAGTAAACTGATTTGACCCAAAATGGGAAATGACACTGAGGTTATCGGAATCCAAATTTACAAACCTAACCATTGCATTTAAAACAAATCTGTACAACCACCCTCGCTAACTTGACCATCGGTACAGGAGTGAGGTTTTAGCTGAACTTTGAGTAAACCTTTTCTTTTCGAAAACATCCAAACAATCTTCTAACTTCTCCCACTTTTGTATTTTTACCTAATCTTAACATCCGTCTCTCGGTTCTTACATAACCGTTATACTGACCTATCATCAAAATATTTTGTTAATCCTTTTTCATATATTACGCAATGTGGCGACTGTTTAATTTTTCGAATCACTACCTTATTATAATCCTCTTTCTTCCAGTTACTCAATATTATTTATAATAAAAGTGACATTATATAATTATTATGCAACGCTACCATCCGATGAGTAGTGTTTCATTGTTTATATATATAAATGTCCAATTTAGGAAGCCTAAAACGCGCATCAAAAAAGTAGCATTTTAGGACTCGAATTTGAAAACTGTATGAGTTCCTTCATGATACTGCTCTTGCCCACTAAACGAAAATTATGCGTCACATGACATCACACTTTCCTGATGTTTAAAAGATGTCGGACATTCCAGTGAACATTTACCCCCACTAAGTTCTGAATACATTTGACTTTGCTAGACGTATTAATTGTGAACCATACGGTATGACACAATGTCAAAGCTATGTTGTAGAGAACGCCTAATACTTTTGATCTACATTGTATCTAGAACGAAGATTACATGCTAGGTACCATCCACAGGACCATTGCACAATTATGTGCTTGTGATTTACCTAAGAACTCTGTACATGATTATTGGTGATGCGAAGAAACTACAAACAAACCTTTAAAAAAACTCCCGATTTCCTATAACTGCCTATTCATTTGTTTGAAGTATGTTTTGACGAACTAATAGTGGGAGAATTTTTAGAAAGGTATCTAAATTAAGGTAGGAGCTGTAGTCAACTTAAAGATTTTGTTCATTATTATTAATAGCTCTATTCAATATTATATTTTGGTACAATATAGAATTCTCAACACGAAGTATTTCAACAAGTTTCTTTTACAAAAACAACAAAAAAGAACTGAATCCGCACTTTTCAAATGAAAGACGTCCAATAATACAAGTTATTAACTACGTTAACTCTAACAACGTGTTCGTCACAGAGTTTATTTGCTAGGTAAGGTATTATAGAACGTTTAAACCTTTGCTTGCATGCATGGATTTTAATGCATTGACGTCTCGTTCTAACAGAAGATATATAAGAAATACGTGAATGAAGGGAATGTTTATTACTTGATAACACCTACCAGGAGTTTGCAAGACTTTAGATGTCTATCCACAACCACATTAATGACTTCGAAAGATTCACCGCACACCTTCTTAATTGACTTCAGAACTCTCCGCGACACAGCAGTTTTTTTCTCAAAAGCCCGGGAAAGAATAAAGCAGAACAGCAAAGAATAACTGGTAATATGGAGAAATCGACAGATTGTAAGAGTAAATGTCGAGTAATCCCAAAAACACAGCCTCCCCACGTAGTAAGTCAGACGGAAAACTTTCTTCGATAACAGTGAAACATGAGAAGACCAAGAGAGATCAGAGGAAAAGGTAACATCAAGATAATTGACCCTCGACAGTGTTTATCAAAGTCTCTAATGGCACAAGCATTATGGGACCCCAACATGTATTTAGATGCTGTTCATGTCTCAGGCTAAAGTTAGCAGCTCGACATTTAGACGGATTAATTATGAGACAATCAACAGACCACCACCCAATACGAGACAAAAGGGTAGAAATCGGCACACATAGAAATTGTCTGCATATTCCACGAGTGTTTCCTTTGGATGATGGCAGATTATGCGGTAAAAAAGAAGTGAAAGAACAGCACGGTTGGCACACCATCATGCGACAGTATAGACGTCGGACACTTCCCTCCAAACACAGTGTACTGTCCCCTTTCAGAGAAATAAGAACATATCCAATTGGTTATCCAGCGGTCAGTGTTGAGACTGATTAACTTGACAAGTAAATTTGTCTAAGTATAGAATCAAAAGCATGATTCAGAAATGCGCATCGAACATACCTCTTACCCTTTCCCAAGCTGAACACTATGTTGTGATGCAGAACAGCAACAACACATAAAGCGCTTCTTCTGCATATGTAAGCCAACTGATACGGATCAATGTATTCTTTTATTGCGGGTGAAGTGGTAGTAACAATAATTTTTACATTGTTTTGAGGAAAGGTGAGGTTATTGCTGTGGGTCTAAATTTCAAATTCTTATCACCAGATACTCTCTTAGGTATATGGATTATCTTTATTTTTCTCCACAATTTCAGTATGAGATTAGTTAAGGATCTATTAAAGATAGTGGCAAATGGATAACGTTAGATTACATGAAACTAGTCAGATCTGGACATATCGATAAACTAGGAGTTTTACTGTATACCTAACATGACTTTTGACCAGACGGTAGTTACAGCACAACAACCGCCCGGAACTCCACCTACATCAAAAACAATGTAATTCGAGAAGGAAACCAATGTAAGAGTATAATTTATTTTAAATGAAAACGTTCATACATATACATTTATAAACGCATACTTAAATGTATATTAATACCAGAATACAGAAACTAAATATGTTTCTTGATCATATCCTCAACTTTAGCAATAGAAGCTCCAACAACCTCACCAACTTTTTCACCATTTTTTAATGCTATAAACGTTGGCATAGCCGAGATATTATGGGATCTGGCGGTCTCCTAAAACATAATATCACGTTATTATTGCATGTTGGTAAACTTAATAATAAAAACATTAAAAATTTTCACTGGACTATGAGGACAGTGAAGTAAGGTCCTCAATATTATTACTTACTTCAAGTTTGTCGACATCGACTTTCACAAAGACCGCGTCATACTTCTCACTCAGTTCTTTGAACAGTGGGGCTATGGTTTTACATGGGCCGCACCAAGTAGCAAAGAAATCAACAACAACCAACTTTGTCTTATTTTCCTCTAACAATTTTTCCAAATCACCCTAAAAACCAAAGAAAAGTATGATAATTTATCGAGAGAAAACAAGGTAGTGCAATATACAATGAGGGACCAGTGCTAGCAAAAATGACTAAAGGATTAACGAATCTTATTTATCTACTCAAGTTAGCAGGTTTCGAGGCATATCAGTTTAAAACCTGTTTTACGTCTTCACTGCTGGCTTAGATTACGCTCGTAACCACACCACACACGTTTTATACGCCGAAGAAACAAGTTCATTGAGGATAACTAAACTTACATCTTGCTTCAGTTCAATTAGCTTAGACATAGTCACCAGATTTCGTATTAAGCCACGCAGAGAATGACCTTCTAGACCCAGTTCCAGTTTCAGCTTAAAAGAACAGATTCAGAATTCAAGTTCAGGTTTCCAATTCAGACTCAAATTTATGTTGTGACAACCACGGCTTTTGTTGTTCCTTTTCTGGTATGCTTTTGTGAGTGTCTATTTTTCTTTTGAATGATTCAATTAAATATGCAGACACCACTGCTTCGGGTAAGAGCTTCCAACAACTGATGACTCGATGTGAAAATCTGTATGTCACTTGTATTTCATTTATTCTTGGCTTTTCTACTACTCTGTTATGCCCTATGAGATTTCTCGACTGACTGTGAAGTAAAATATGGGGTATGTCTGGTCCAATACCACTCCTGAGTATCCTACACATCAAAATCAGGTCACCTCATAATGTGCGATAGGACAGAGTAAACAGATTTAGCTTTAAGCCTTTCTGTGTATGGCTCTCAACGAAGTCATGAATTTTACAAAGAGCAGCCCCCTGGACTTTTGCTCAGGACATCAAGTCACCTGAAACAGGGGCTTGCCGCATGAACGAGATTCTAAAGTTTAGTTCTCAATAAGGTTGTGTATACTGTAGTGAGCATGGAAGTAACTAACTTAGTGAATGTTCATCATATAGCACATGGGGCTCCAAATACCACTAGATGAAACCTCCCAGAAGTGAGCCGTGGTCTCAAGATCATGGTTTCGGTATGAAGTAGAGATTTTAGAGACAGAAATCGTCGACAAACATTTTAACACAGATGTCCTTCGGCTCACGTTTTCACAACAGAGATTAGCACAACAAAATGGAAATAGCAAGACATGTAAATAAAACAGTAAGAATTAAAATGAGAAGGTAAACACACAAAACATAGTTTAGTAAACAGAATGTAAAGGTATATCATGAAAGGATGTTAGGAGGGATTCGAAAGATAAAGACTAAAGTAGCAATAGAGCTTTTAGTACACCTATGAGGAAAGATTTTAACTAACTGGATGTGTATATACAGCTCCAAACACTCCTAGTTCAACTGACACTGTTATAAGTGAGTGATTTGCTACGGCTGCCTCCCTTGATTTCGTATACAAAATTACTTGTGGTGATTCCAACAGTAATGCTCTCGACTTGATATCCTGTCATAATGTCACACCGACGTATGAAGTGGTTGGCGAAAAGTTTAACAACAGTGATCGTAAAATAGTCTTATTCACTCTACTGTTTCTTGCAAAGTGCAACAAATCCAAGACAACAACGACACATTTTCAATATACAGACTATGCTCACAATGACTAGGGAAACTCGATTTCTAATAAAGCTCTCTGACTGGAGTAGTCTCTTTACAAGTGATAAGCCTTCAGAAACATTAGAAATGTTCAATGTCACCACTAAATAGTACTATATTATGTCCAAAACGACACCCCATACTGTACGATGGTGCGACGTATTATGTCCTAACCGTCATATGTGAACTACTAAGTGGATGGTTTTCCCACTATGGGAATAAATCTCACGTCCCAGATATTAATATCAAATGCACTAGCAAAAATAATCATAGTATTAGTAACTTATCACTCATTAATATACACGCCTTCACCAAACCCTTAAGTTGAATGCAAGTTCTGATGCAGATGATATCCCATTGATTCTTTAAAAGAATGGTAGGACCGAACATAAGAATACTATTACTCAAAATATTCACGTCATTCTTAGAAGCAGATACATACTCCGAAACTTGGAAGATAGCGTATGTTGCACCCATACACAAATCAGGACCAAAAAATTTGATCTAGAAATACAAACCTATAAATATCACCCCAATTATATGACGTGTAATGGAAAAAGTGATATGAGATGAATTATCTGATCACCTACTCAAAAAAGCCCAGTCCACCCGTCAGAACACAGTTTCATAAGAACAAGATTTCGATCCACATGCTTGATAGGCTTCTTTAACGAGATAACTCGCATACATGACCAAAAACAACTAGTGTTTGTTTCGATATCAAGACAACTTTTGATAAGGTACTTCATAACCTCTTAATCGACAGACTTTAATCCGTTGGAGTTACTAACCATCTATTGCAATAGATCAGTTCTTTTCTCACAAACAGATACCAAAAGGATTAGAATTAATTCTACAGCATTTATACCCCGACCACTAGCCAGTGGTGTTGTACAGGGCAGTGTCTTGGGTTCATTGCTTCTTACAACCTATATCAACAATATATGCAGGTAATTCAACACGGGTAAGACTTACGTTTACGCTGATAACTTGAAAGTTGTCTATCAAAAAGATATTTGCAACATACAAAGTATTACGCAAACAATCCAGCATGAACTCAACCAGATAGATGACTGATGTAAGCGCTGAAACTTTAAACTCAACACACAGTGTAGCGGTAAATGAATCCCCAAAATAAATAGCCCTGTAAGATTTCGACATTGGATGCTGACCATATGTTTTAGTGGACTTATCTTGCTGAAGGCGCTCGGTCATGCATCCGCACCACATCACTTGTGGTAATGCTGTGCTCAACATCTACCTCAATCGCTAGCCAAATTAGATCAGAGAATCCTGATATATTGGTAATCGCCAAATACACTCTTCCGATTTCCTCAACTCTGTTTTTTGATTTCTCTCGATTGGTACAGATTATGTTAGAGGGTGTTGCTGGTAAAAGCGTTGTCAAACACTGAATACCTGTGACATCCTCATTGGTGAGACCGACGTGATCTGGTACACCGAGTCGCAACTGTGAGTCTGTTCCTTTTTGGGAATTTTTTATGTATTATTGCCTAAATTTTAATTTTTTATACATTGTGACATTTTTCCCCCGTGTTTCAGGATATCTATATATTTTTCACTCCTGTATTCTCGTACTTAATATTCCCCTATGACTGAACAGACTGAACAGATTCAGACCATGTCCCCACCCTCGTTCCAACTCATGCCTTTCTGGCCCGACAGTATCGAAGCCTGGTTCTGTTACGCAGAAGCCGATTTCAACGAGTACGGCGTGAACGACACATGTGCACAATTCCTCGCAGTAGTCAAGGCAATACCGCGCGAATTCAACAGTTACGTAACATCCAGTATGTTCACTAGTGATGTTTCCGAACCTTACGAAATCTTGAAACGTTCGATTCTTAAACGAGGAGACCTAACCGATCGACAAAGGTTAGATCAACTCTTCAATAACACCGACCTGCAACACGGTTCTGCGACAGACATGTTGCAACGGATGAGAGAGGTTATAGGCCTAAGAACTTTCGACGAAGGTCTATTCAAACAACTCTTCTTGTCTAAACTTCCCCAACAGGTGCAAGCGGCTCTGGTCTCGTTCCAGAACAACGCCTTAGACGAACTGGCTGCATCTGCCGATCGTATTTTATAAATTACAAAATCTTCTACCTCAGAGGATTTTTCAGTCAAAGGAAAGCCTCAAACGACTCAGAATGACATAACCGAGTTATGTCATACACTCACGCGTTATCTTAATCTTCGTACCGACCGCAAGAGTTCGCCCACCCCACGTAGAAGCATTTCACGAAAGCGATCTGTCTCTAGACCACGAGAGACGGATAATCCCGACTGGTGCTGGTATCATAACCAGTATGGAAAGTCTTCCAGAAATTGCAGAAAACCCTGCAATTTTCCCAACACGAAACCGAATGACTCGAAAAACAACTCGGGAAACTTCCAAGCCGGCACGCGTTAACGGCAACCGTAGCCGGCGAACATAGCCGTCTGTTGTACGTCACAGATGTGACAACGAGATTTCGCTATCTCGTCGACACTGGCGCAGAAGTTAGCGTCCTTCCAGCGAATCCCAACGACCGACTTCACGAATCGGCTCTAAACTTACAGGCAGCAAACGGAAAACCGATCGCTACATATGGCAAAAGGTACGTTTACCTTAACCTGGGTTTACGCAAACCCATCCACTGGGTCTTCGTTGTTGCAGATGTTTCCATGCCAATCATTGGTGTGGACCTTCTACAACATCATAATCTGATCATCGACACGCGCAAACGAAGGCTAGTAGACGGAAACACTAATTTATCCGCTTGCGTAACTTCTTCCGGTTGCAGGTTATCCCCAGTCACAATTAAGCATAGGATAGACCCACTCTATCAACCACTACTCGATGAGTACCCTGGGATACAACAAACTCAACCGAAACTAACGTGTGTAACCAGCAACGTTACACATCACATCACGACTACAGGACCACCTGTATTCTCTAAAGCACGCCGACTAGCTCCTGAAAAACTAAGGTTAGCGAAAAACGAGTTCGACCATATGATAGACTTAGGAATCACACGACCGTCAAGTAGCCCATATGCATCTCCGTTGCACATGGTCCCTAAAAAGGACAGCAACGATTGGCGTCCAACTGGCGACTATCGGCGATCGAATGCAAAAACCATTCCCGATCGTTACCCGTTGCCTCACATTCACGATTTGACAGCTACCTTGAAAGGTACAACTGTCTTTTCGAAAATCGACTTGGTTAAAGCGTATAACCAAATCCCTATGGCTACTGACGACATACCGAAAACATCCATCATTACTCCCTTCGGACTCTATGAATTTTTGCGAATGCCTTTCGGTCTAAGAAATGCTGTTCAAACATTCCAAAGATTCATAGACGACGTTTTTCAAGGACTCAACTTCGTACATGCGTATGTTGATGACTGTCTAATCGCAAGTCCGGACAGAGAATCACATCTCAAGCATCTGGATCTTGTTTCCGAACGACTACAAAATCATGGCATTACTGTAAACGTTCAGAAATGCCAAATCGGAACCGACTCGTTAGACTTCCTAGGACACACTATCGATGCTCAAGGCATTCGACCCCTTAGGACCAAAGTGGCGGCAATTCTGGATTATCCAGAACCGACCACCGTCAAGCAGTTACGAATGTTTAACGGCCTCGTAAGTTTCTATAGACGTTTCATACCGAAATGCGCATTACTTATGAAACCTCTTACCGACCAACTTCGTGGAAATGCAAAATCCATCAATATGGACAACACCGCGCGAAAAGCATTCTCCACAGTTAAGG